ACAGTCAGCCAGGTAGTGGAAGGCTTTAAAAATGTTTCCGAATATACATGTCTGGTTGCACAAAAGATTATCCAAATGATAGGCATTAATAATAAAAGCTATGGTAGTTCAGAAAGAGGAAACTATTTTTTAAAGGAGGAACTACTATCTTTTATATACACTACTGTATTTTATATACACAGGAAGATCTCGGCTTCCCACTACCCGATGGGAAACATGCAGATGTGCCCCGTATGCATCTGCTCTGGAAGAAATTTCCCTATTTCCACATTCTCATCTTGTAGTTTTGAGGAGGTCGGTTGAGCATGCCACGCCTGGTCCGTGAAGGTTTCTGCTCAGTTGGCTTCAGACAAAGTTACCATTAACTCCCCAACCTGCAAGAAAATTATTTAACACAAAGGATTCCAAAATGTCCTCCTCTCCCCCTACAAGCCTGCAAACAAATGGTACAGGAATGAGGTCAGAAAGGAATCCCCTGCCTACCAGGCCTCTGAATTCATTTACCTACCTCAGAGCCCATTCAGGGAAAGGGGTGGAACAGGGAACAAGAGATTCTCGGAGGCCAAGTGGAGTTTGGGGGTCGAGCGCTACATTACAAGATTTGACAGGCCTTTGCCAGCCTTCGGCTTCTTTGTGTCTCTCACATAATAGAGAAACACAAACTGAGCAGCACACGATCTGTGGTTACACCCTTGGACAGAGCACACTCTTTGCAAATGCTAATAGTATTGTAGTATCCTGTCACCCGGGAACACAAAAAAGGATGTTGATTTTCACATGAACCAGAACAGGCCCATTGTACACAAGTTTGTGACCAACTTGTAGTATCTGCACATCAAAAGCCCAGCCAATCACGGGGTACACAGCTGGTGGACTGCACCGATGGGGGTGCCCAATGGAGAACAAGATCCAAATGCCTCATCCACCCAGAGAGACACACACAGTACTTTTGACATGAATGAAACTACAATCTCACAATCCTGGTTCAGCTATGACCATGACAGTTGCCAAGTAAATAATTAGCAAGAACGTAATTGTCTCAGATGTTTAAAGAGAGAAATCTGAATGTATGAAAATGGGAGTGGTTTTGCTCCTGCTGAGAGCCTCCAATATGGTAGAGGCAGCAAAGGGTGGTGATGTTCAATTAAGGGTGATCCGATACACGAAAAGATAAACTCATGAGAACGTTGGCAAGAAAAGTATCTATTTCCAAGCCCTGGGAAACTAGAAACTCAGGGCAAGAAAATTAAATAAAGAATGTATATGATGTTCTTAAAAATAAGTTTAGTCAAAATTGTAGAGGCTTCTGCTAATAGCCTCTCAAGTGTTTTTATTAGAAACAAAAAGATAGTCAAAATTTGGGAAAACATTCAATGAAGGTTTTAAAAACTGGGGTAGAAATAATTCTGGATCTGATTAGTTGGGCTAATCCCCCCAAATTTAGAGAATCAACATAGGTAAGACGGGAAAATTAACATGATTAACATGTTGAGGAAAAATCACCAAGTACTAATTTCTACTCCTGAGATTTGAGGTCTGGGGCAGACAGATTAGAGCCCCCTGAAATCTTAGTATCACCTTGTCCCCCCAGGACCCCACGGGGCCCTATCTCTGCCAAGATCCCCACTGTTGTGGTGCAGCAACAGCCTCATATAGTTAGGGTTAGCCCCTGACGCACTTTCTAGGGGTGTCAGTGCCCAGGGTACTCCTCAGTAAGTTTACTTTGTAAATAAGTTCACTGTCCTAAAAGTATTTTTGAGAGATAGCAAAACGTACAGGGGTTTGTAACCAGACCTGTTTTCAAATCCAGAGTTTGTTGCTCACTAGAATGACCTGGGGCAAGTTACTTAACAACTTTTCTGAGCCAATTTCCTCATCTACAAAATGGAAATAATACTGCCTATGGTAATGAATGCAAAACGCAAGACATACTGGTTCAAGTTCTCTTAACTTCAAAACTTAAAAGAAAAACACAAAAAAATTTCGTGGGACCCATCTTTGGCAAGATAGGATACTAAAAAGGCTTTGGGGTTTCTAGACGGACCCCAAAACGCTAATGGCCTGTGACAGTACACATCTTTGCCGTGCACCCAGTCCTGCAGTGTGGAGTGGGCCCTTAGTAAGGGTGTGCTACCATCTGTACCCTTCTCCTGACACACACCCGCACCCCTTCCTCCTGCTAGGATTGCTCAGGGAGGCAGGTTCGCTACTGGCAACTGGGTGTGTGCTGTGTTCTTAAGGAACAGCTAAGGTGCTGCAGGTGACTTCCGACTTAAGCTCTCTAGACAAATACATTTCTTGATGGAGAAAGAGTAAGCATTGCAACTTGTTAATGATGTGTGACTACTTCTATGTTAAGACGTATGGAAAAGAGAGATTAAAAACAAAAATGGAACGCAGGAAATGGACAGGTTAATTCCTGAATTCCTAAATTAATTTTAGCATTTCCTGCAGCTGAAGTGAAGAAACAGGTTAAGGTCTTGAAGTCTCTTTGACAGAAGAAGAGGGGCATATACATTTGTCTGGAGTGAGAAGCTTTGCTGGCCCCGAATTATCTAGTAATCCTTACTTTAATGAACTTAAATGATAAGACATGTTCTTAGGCTTTACTTCTGCAAAAGACACCTTGCAGAAAAGAGTATTTTCTTCAACTAGGTACATCATATAGTATTTGGGAAAGCCAAGGGCATATTAGATAAATCCAGAGATAGGTCAGTGTCAGTCCAGGCAGTATTGCTTCCTGAAGACTTGGCCTAATTCTCAGAAACTAACTTCAGCAAAGCAAGATGGAGTCGGTCTATTCTCTACACACTTTCTCACAAATGTCAGAGGTCTCACAAGCTTCTGACAAGTGCTAGATCATGTCAACCATGACTGTATTTTCTGACAAGTGGATAAAATGCTAATTTCCATGTTGCTGCTATGTGACTTAGTGACTCTAAGAGTGAGCAGCAGAACAGACGTTCTGCTTCAAACATTAAGGCGTGTAACCTGTCCTGGTAACACAGCTGTAAGATACTCCTCTGTGAGAGGCAGCTGGTGTGTCATGGCACGGTGACTGGGTCTTCAGTGGGGCCTTGGGCCTATGGGTTTTTAAATTTTCTCAAATACCTGGATAGGAACCAGGCTAACACCTGGATTAATTAGTGAAAAACAAAACAAGTAAGAATTCTTTAGCTAAAAGAATGAAGGACCAGGGATTTAAAAACATTTAAAAGTTACTTCCTACTCAGTGACTTGACCCTAAATGAGCCTCAACACTAGCCCTAGAGAATGTGAGCTCAGGTCTTTCTGAGAGTGATCATATACACGTTCTCCATTTTCAAGCTAGTAACTCAACTCTATCACTTCAAGATACCTACTTAACCTTATGATGCACATTTTTCTTACCATTACTTTATAAAACAGTCTTCTTCAGGGTAAACGGTATTCACATTTAAACAGAACGGAGATTCCTCAGAAAGTTCAAAATAGAGCTACCCTATGACCCAGCAACTGCACTACTGGGTATTTACCACAAAGATACGATGTAGTGAAGAGAAGGGGCACCTGCATCCCAATGTTCATAACAGCAATGTCCACAAGAGCCAAACTGTGGAAAGAGCCGAGATGCCCTTCAACAGATGAATGGATAAAGATGTGGTTCATATATATATAATGGAATATTATTCAGCCATCAGAAAGGATGAATACCTACCATCTACATCGACGTGGATGGACCTGGAGGGAATTAGGCTAAGTGAAGTAAGTCAATCAGAGAAAGACAATTATCATACGGTTTTACTCATACGTGGAATATAAGGAACAGTGCAGAGGACCGTAAGGGAAGGGAGGGAAAACTGAATGGGAAGAAATCAGAGAGAGAGACAAACCATGAGAGACTCTTGACTCTGGGAAACAAACTGAGGGTTGCTGGAGCAGAGCGGGGTGGGAGGATGGGGTAACTGGGGGATGGGCATTAAGGAGGGCAGGTGATGTGATGAGCACTGGGTGTTATATGCAGCTGATGAATCACTGAACACTACGTCAGAAACGAATGATGCACTTTATGTTGGCTAACTGAATTTAAATAAACTTTGTTGATACTGTTTTGCTTCTTAATCGTTGACAATTTTTGAAGCACTCATCTTAACTCTTAAGTTTTCTACGTCCATTAACTTAGTTTTAATATGTGCAAAATATGACCATTTTAGTTAACACAAATTGGCTGTGATTATTTTAAAACACATTTTGTAATACAATTAAACAATACATCTGTATTATTTACAAGCACATGATAAACTACTTCACTCTGGTAGAGAATTCATACATCTGAAACTTAATATTACGTCAACTATATTACAATTAAAAAATGAGTAATTTTTAAAAGGTATGAATTCTTCAACTGGAAGCGTGAGAAGGAAACGAATCACTCTGTTAAATCTACAGGAAGTAAAGTCTGCAACTTTTTTGATACATGCAGATTTTGAACTTGAAGTGTACAAAGGATAAAAAATTACAGTACAACTACTTTTTGAGCCTCACACTGAGAGTGGTCCGTTAACAGTGACAAGTGACATACAGGCTAATGTGACTGAAACATGTTCTTTTCTACAAACCTTCCAAAGGAATTCAAAGACTGTCTCTTGACATTAACTCATCAGAAATAAACCATATTCCAGCTAGTATGTACTACTTATTGAAGCAATCATGACTTTGAGTCTTTCCCTAGTTTTGACTTCAGCCAACCATATGAATCCTGGAGAAGGCACACCTATACTCTGCCTTATTTTACATATCAAATGATTAACAGACATTTATTTAATAAGCATCATTTAGCAGCAAAGTTCTGGGAAGAAAAAAAAAAGAGAAATGGGAGTTCATAATAAGGTAGTAGATGGAAGTAAGGGATCCTCAAGGTTCCTTCCCCTTCTAAGACTTAGGTCTGACTTTTCAGTAAGCCTCCTGTACGAATGAACATGCTAGCACCATTAGTGAAAATGATGGCCATGGCAGCAAAATCCAATTAAAAGACATTTTTAATATATTTTATCATAGTAAATACCAAAACGTTTTGACAAGTATCAAGACATAAAAAAAGGCGTTGTTTGACCATGGATTACAACTGCGAAATGTGTGCGAAGTAAAAGTATTCAGAGAAGAGCCACATTAAGAGGCTTGTGAGACCATGAATTTGGTTACATTGTGAGGTCAAATTATGACCCTAGGTGCTCAGGTTTCTCTCTCTCTCTTTCTCTCTCTCTCTCACCCTCTCATTAATACAGAGAAAAGTTAAAAGATGCTCTCCAATATCGAATTATAACATGATTTAAATATCTTTAATTACTAATCTACACAAATGACCTTAATTAATCACAGGCAAAATATAATCGCAGTAACACCTACATGGAGTGTGAAGGTTTTAAAAAATAATACAAAGTTCATTCACAGTGCACAAGTAAAAACAAAGTTAAGTTTTAAGTACTTAAACACATAGTCATGATCATTCAAAAGTAAGTATATTTGTAAGCACATCTCTATACTGCTAAAGTACCTGAAACTCTAGCAAACACCAGCTAAGAGAACTGAGATAAAAAGCATTGTTTTGATCCCTTTTACTGGAAACCTAAAATACCATATTTCTTTCTGCAGATAAATACATCTGAAATAAATAAATATAAAATTATTAACTAGTTAAGGAAATTACCTTTTTAGCCTCCACTCTGAATCTTATCATCATATGTAAACTTCCCAAATTATACGGTTAGGAAGTACCACTCTCTGCAATGTTCCCTGCTCATTTTTACACTATTCATTTGCATTTGGAGGCCAAATTATTTGTGGGAAGGAGTCCATTGGAGTAAAGCCTGAAAAAGGGGGGTAATACAAAGAGGAGAGAATATAATTAAGCTACTAAGAAAGGAGGATTGCTCCACCTATAGCTAAGCTCTGCTGATTGAACTGTGAAGCAGCAAGAACGGCTTGTTTCCTATTGTGCACTGCCTATGAATACGGAGTTTTTAAAATTGATACCTTGACCAAGTCAATTTTGGATATAATCTATTTACAGTTGTTCAGTCTTCCATACAGAGCTTTGTTCACTCTCTTCTTTGCAATTTCTGCCATGCAGAACAAATGATTCCTGGTCAAGTTAGAACTTAACTCCTATACATTGAATTTCTGAAGTGACTGGTTTAACTTTGAATCATTTGTAAGTTTTGAACTACAGACACAACACACAGGGTTTACTGTCGAGAATCCGAATTTTATTTTTTCTTTTAATAACATGTGCATCAACCTAACTTCCAAGAAAAAAAAAAAAGGCATGCTTAGAATGAGCTCAGCTAAAAAGGAAAAAAAAAAAAATATAGGTAGCCCATAAAAGAAAGAAGTCATATTACTGTGGGGGACGAGGGGGTGTCCGGACTCTTAGATGGATTTTTCATCACATTAATTTGTATCATCTATTTGTATGTTTAAATTACAAATACTGATCTCAAAATGAAGACCCCCCATCCCCGTTTCTTACATTTATACAAAGAGATGTGAAAAAAGTACTGACTTAACATTAGCCTTTTGCTTGGGAAAAATCTACAGAAATACAACTGAAGGTATTTTTTCCTATCCATAGCACATATAAATAAACGTGGTCCTATTTCTTTAGAAATAGATTTATAGTTGTAAAGTGGCTGTGTTTTACAACTACAAAAATATTAATAATTGCATGGTGCCTGCTTCAGTGAGGAGTTATCACCAAGCAGCACTGGTTAGAGGGAGCTAACCACTGAGGTCATCTCCAAACTCAGCACAGAACATGGAGCGGGGCTCTCTACTCCCTTTCTGTTCACCCACCAGCCCTAGAGCTGAAAGACACATGAAATGTTCTTGACTCTCATCTACCAAATAACAATATAGACTGCTACCGGCTGTGTAAAACGGGATCTACCTTTCTTATCAAACAGTATAAAACAACTATTTACTGAATTCTCAATTTCTGAAATACTCTGTGATATCCTTCCAACTCTGTATATTAAGTGTCCTCAGATCTTGAGAGAAATCACAATGAAGGATATATTGATGCTAAATTAAAAAAAAAAAAAAGTGGGGTGGCAAGGGAACTGTTACCAAAACATAATTCTAAAAAAGCTGAAAATTAAGTAAACTATAAAATAAAAACTGTCACACAGTGGGCATTTTTATTAGAATAATAAAGGTTCAATGAAATGGCAACAAAGCAGAGATAAATGAGAAAGACATTTTAAGTCAAAAATGGCATATTTCTTTGCTTTAAAGTCCGTCAGCCAGTAAAGAAGTATTTGTATGAAACACATGAAAATGCTGTGAAGGTACAATAACTGAACTGCAACGAATCATATTTTATGTTTTTCTTTACACGTTCAGCTAAGAGGGAGATGGTCAACATTATTCTGTTGAAGTAATTTCTACTTAAAATAGTCTTATGACAGAAGGCCTTTTCCTGAAGTGCTTGACAACAGTCTCAATGAAATTAGTCAACCGATTATTCTTGGTCTTCCTTACCCTGTGTCACAACCCAGTAGCTCTGTCAACAGGTTCAAAAAACCCACGGTTAACAGAAAACCCGGCTTACCTAGACAAAATAAATGGATTTCAAATGGGTACAGAAAGGACAAACTCGTCGGCGGAAGCACACAGGCAGCTGCTGCCGACTTCGCTTCCAAGACAGCCCTCTCAGCTGGCAGGGAAGGGTAAGACCTCTTTCACTGGATGTACCCGGACTGCTGTAATCCGAATCCACCTGTTTGAGGCGCTCTTCTGTTAGCTAGTCCTCTTTCACATGATCAGTGTACACTCGATTTTCATCATCAGATATAGCTACTGCATACAGAACATTACAGATACAGACAACAACTTCGCGGGTTACCATGATCTTATATACAACTGATAGCTTTTCACAACATCTAGCATTTTTTGCCCAGAAAAAAACTGACCCTATATCATCTAATGAATTAGTTGAACGCGTGCCACCACAAATGAGACAAGCAGGAGAGCAAGTTTCTTATCTTCAAGGATTGAATCTAACGGCCACACCACTTGTATTATTTCACTTTGTCACTTCAATACAGTAAAAGAGGATTTTAATGCCATTTCCACTGTTCTTGCATTCGAAAGGCAACTGATGGTTAAAGTGCCTCGAACACGCATAAATTATTTTTATCCCATGACTTTATTTTGTGTTTAGAAAGGTGGAACAGCAGAAGGAAAAAAGGCAGGACAAGAGACTCTGGAGTTTTTTTCTTCACATGTATGCAGAGGTGATTATATTATGAGTAGGATTCTGCAAAAATAAACATATTTGATAAATTATGAGGAGACAAATGCAAAATTTCTAAACTTTATTACTGCATGATCATAAAAATATTGAAGTTTAACTGCCTGTCTGCTAGTTGTATTAAATTCAAAATATCACCTACTGTAACAATAGAATAATTTTATTAACATGATGTGTGAATCAAAAAATACTGTAATTTTTATGGAAATAATTTAAAAACATATTAAAGTCGATCAGCAGAAGGAATCTGTGTATGACTGTGTTGGGTATAAACATCTTCAGCAATTATCAGAATGAATTACTTAAAACTACCAGGCTGAGGAATCCATACATGTTAAAACTATCATTAAGAAACTATTCCTTAAAGTTCCTGGTAACTTTTATAAAATGGTCAGAATGAAGCAAGGCTACTACCATTTTGCCACATTTACTCTTTTCATTGGATTTGCAGGGTACAAAACAGAATTACTAACAGTTCACAGGGTTATAAATCCCAAGGGTTGGGAAGGGCCGTAGAGATTAAAGACAAGTAAGGAACAAAGAAAGTTGGGATGGTTTCCTCACAGACAAATATCATCACAACTTAGCTCTTGGGACTGCCCTGGACTCCACTTGAGACAGACACTCTGGCAGGAAAAGGCATGTTTCCAGTAGCAATGGTAATACTAAGATGTCACGCTGACCCGCTTAGGGAAGTGACATTCACCATTATGTAAAACACTGGCTGGCTTTAGGCTTCCTCATTTCATTAAAGACAGAAATACAGCTTATATTTTTAATGGGTTTCTGTGATTTTCATGAATTTCCTCCCCCCGCCATTGCCCCAAACCACATTTATAAACAAAAATTTCAAGAGAACTTTGGTGCTGAAGAGGAGAATCTTCATATCAAAAAGGCTCTCAAAATGTTTATTTCTAACATTAACTATTGAGTAATTATGATGAGGAAGATATAGCAACCTTATGACTTTAAAAGAAAATTTTCATACACTGAAGTTGTATAAAACATTTATGAACACAGACACTTAAAAACAACGACTTATTTTTGGATTACACGTGTTCAAGATGATTGATATTTAGTTTCTAGATACATTTTGTATACATCCATATATACAGCTGTCTTAACTTCAGGGAGAGACACAGAACAAAGTAACAAAGCATTACCGGCAAGCCTTCTAACTCCTCCCTCCCTCATTCATTGCTGGGATGCTGTTCTGAGTGATAATGGTCTGAGCTGTGCTTCCTTTTCTAGCTTGCTTTCTCAAACATACTGTCCCTCCAGTAGAAGAAAATAGGTAGTTTGGTTAAAGGGCCTTTTCTGAAATGAATGCAGCAGCTAGGGAGGGAATCTCTTACTTTTCTATTCCTTCCAGTTCTGACTGTGTTGCAGGCTGCCTACCGGGCAAGGCTCACAGATAAAGTGATTAATTAAATATTTTAAATACACGATAATGTCTTAATTATAGCATTTTCCCTTTCTCAACTTTTTCAATAAAAGCAAAAGACTTACTAATTATAATTCTTTAGCAATGATTAGCAAGTTACTAAGCTACTAAGGCAAGTCTTTATACATGTAATACTTTATCTGGAACATGCTTCCAAGGCCAGACTATAAAATTAGACAAGAGTCCACACATTCAGAAGAGTACTACATACTAAGGCTATCTGAGTAATTTTAAACAGGAGAAATATTTTTAAACATAAGAGAATAAGATTAAGAACAACTGTTAGGATTACCAATCAAGCCAAATAAATGCTTTGCAACTTAACATAAATATAATTATCAATTGAATGTGAACAATGAGGAATAAAATGAGAGCTACAGTTCAATTCTTTACATGCAGAAAACTTGCGAGCCATATGCATATTATGAAACAGCTTAGCTTTGTTTACCTTTGTTCTGTTCAAAATGAGTTCTAGAGGATATTTTTAGTTCAGCCAGAAGACAAGTATTCAAAAGGAACATTACACATATGAAATGTAGAATTAGTTTCAGAGATCCCTGCCATTAAAATTATTTAATTACACTAAAATTGTTATTAAGGAACAAGCAAGATATAGTCAAGTACAATGATGAACTATAACAATAAGTTAAAAAATATAAATTTTGCATCTAGTCAGTACCAACACAGTAAGAGGACTTTTACTTAACTTATTACCATTTATTTCTCCTGATGAAGAGCTTCAATAAAAGCATCAAGTTTTTCTTGAATTTCTCTAACTTTCTCTGCAGAGATAAAAAGACAATAGTATTAGTTAAAAGTGAATTTATTTTTCAAAGGCAACACAAATCTTATAAGATAATTATCCAATATATGGTCTGGGATACTCTATTTGGGAAAAGGGAAAAAAACTACTTTAGCACCCCATACCCCCTTATGTCTAGAAAAGGTTAAATTGGACTGTAGTAGTAGTTCTTAACAATTTTTTGGAAAGGGAAGGAGTGTGGGGTTTGTGACAGACCCCTTTCAGAATGTAGTAAGAGTTACGGAATCTTACACAGAAAAATGTATGTATGGATACATATGTAATTGCATATAGAATTTTAAGGAGTTCTCAGGTTCTCTGGAGTCCAACCAAGGACTCAGTTAGCAATATCTGGAACGGAGGAAAATATAAAATAAAATAATGAAACCATTTTTAAACATTAAAAGAGAATACAGGTGAGCATTTAACAGGCCTTAGACTGGAAAATGATTTTTTAGGATAAACAGGAAATACAAAGGGTAAGATTACCAGTATGACCACATTAAAATGTACACACTTTGTATGTCAAAATAGATAAAAGAAATTGTAGGAAATACTTGCAACAAACATGAAAAGGGCAAAACACTTCAAAAATACATAGAAAAAATGTACTTTTCTAGCTATAAATGAATAAAGTTTAAAAACACTATAGGCACTGCAGACTTACATTATTATATTTTAGATTATCATGTTTATAGACTTCCAAATAAAATCTGTAACTTCTCTCAGAGATATAAAGATTTCCTTCACAAATATAACTAGTCACAGTACATGTCAATCTCCAAATGTTAAAAGAATGGGCGTTGTGATTTATTCTACTTCACTGCTAACTTAATTATGCAACTCCCCCTTTAAAATATAGCTCGTGGTAAGCACAGTAACAAATATTTTTGTCCTTTCAACACAATTCTACATATTAGTGGGAATTCTCAATTACAGTGAAGTGACTGGTTCAAAACTATCGATCTAGAGGCAAAACTGGAAAGCATTCTGCATTATATCTATAGAAAAACCATTATAATATTCAACATTTGTTATCTTTTAAAAAAATATTTATTTATTTACTTATTTTAGAGAAAGAGTGCTTTCGAGTGGGGAGGAGGGGCAAAGGGAGAGAATCTCAAGCAGACTGTGTGCTGAGCATGGAGCCTGATGCGGGGATCATCTCATGATCATGACCTGAGCTGAAACTTCAGGTTTCAGACACCCAAGTGACTGAGCCACCCAGGCACCCCAACATTTGTATCTTTTATATTTAAAAATAAATAATCTGCAATTGAAGACATAGTATTTCTATCAGTGAGACAGCAGTTTTGATGAATAGCCAATGAAAGGAAGACCTGTCCTCTTCACGAATTCTTACTAACATTGCAGGAACTCAACAAAGCCTATATGGTTGCATATCAAGAACATGTCTTCATCTTTTTTTGCCAGCAATTTAACACTTCTACCTCTTCGTATGAGTCTGAGACTAACACAAAAATCTATAGAGAAAAAAAAAAGTGTATTGTTTTAATCAAACTATTTACTGAGCAAACATGAGAACAGTTATTGCAGAGATGGCAATAATTCCTTATATGTGAAAGTGAGCTACAGAAACCAGAAAAAATAATCCCAACCCATCTCTTAGAAGTTTAGTCTGTACTTTTTGATAGTCAGTACTATTTGTAAAAGAAAAGTCAAACCAAAAATATACATCCTTTCTCAAAGTAAGGTCATATTCTTATTTTTAAAATTAATTCATTTGTTGCTTAGAAATAGCTTCACCTATTTTCTTCAGTGAGTATTTACAGAGTTCCACATAGTGCAGTTCACCAGCTGAAGAATTTTTAAAAAAAAAGGGAGATTAGGAGAAAAGGAGTTTTCTAAGTTGTCTCACAGAATTTTGGAAATGAACAGGGTTTTTAAAAAATCATCTGGTTTAAACAGCACAACACATGGAAATCTAAAACAGGTGTTTAACGCCTTGGCAGCTCCTCTAAACATTTCACTGTGAACTATTTCGACTTGGGAAAGCTGTACTGTGTAAGAGGAAATTTGATTCTATTTGCTCCATGATCTGCGTACAATCGGGCAGCTGCAGGGCCAGCTCTATCCATCCTTTTGCCCTGTCCCTGACCTTCATCCTCAGCTGGACAGACGATCTGTGAGCGGGTGGTACAGTAGTATCACTCACAGGAGACTGTTCAGAGCAAGGTCTACTTGTATTGAAAGAGACCAAGGGCCACTCTTTTTTTAATATTTATTTATTTATTTTTATTAACATGTAATTATTTGTTTCAGGGGCACGGGTCTGTGATTCATCACTCTAACACAATTCACAGCGCTCACCAGAGCACATACCCTCCCCAATGTCCACCACCCAGCCACCTCATCCCTCCCACCCTCCTCCACTCCAGCAACCCTCAGTTTGTTTCCTGAGATTAAGAGTCTCTTACGGTTTGTCTCCCTCTCCGGTTTCATCTTGTTTCATTTTTCCCTCCCATCCCCTATGATCCTCTGTCTTGTTTCTCAAATTCTTCACATGAGTGAGATCATGATAATTGTCTTTCTCTGATTGACTTATTTTGCTTAGCATAGTATCCTCTAGTTCCATCCATGTCGTGGCAAACGGCAAGATTTCATTTTTTTGAGGGCTGCAAAATATTCCATTGTATATTTATACCACATCTTCTTTATCCATTCATCTGTTGAGGGATATCCAGGCTCTAGTTTGGCTATTGTGGACACTGCTGCTTAAACATTGGGGTGCACGTGCCCCTTGAGACCCCTACATTTGTATCTTTGGGGTATATACCCGGTAGTGCAATTGCTGGGTCGTAGGGTAGCTCTATTTTCATAACTTTTCGAGGATCCTCCATACTGCTTTCCAGAGTGGCTGTACCACCCTGCATTCCCACCAACAGCGTAGGAGGGTTCCCAAGGACCACTCTGATACAGGTGTCTGTGAAGTCTGAATCAAACTCAAATTCTTCTAAAATTAGAGATACGCAATGTTTTTTTCCAAATGAAAGTAAAAAGGCTTATCTAATTGATAAGAAAACTACAGAATAAAACTGCCAAATTTCCCTTTCAAAAAGTTGTTTTTTTACAAATTTTATAATTGGAGTATCAGGACACCGTGACACTACACTCTGAAACCTCAAGAATGACACAAAGGGTATCTGAGTAAGTAACTAGGAAGTAGTGGGGGTAGATGAGAAGAGAGGAGAGGGTGGAGGTAAACATTAAAAGAAGAAAGAATAGTTGTGATAAACATATCCTTTTTACACTAACTTTAAAAATTCACTTCTGTGTTTGTTCCTTCATTTTATACAGTGCACTTAATGGAGTGACATGGGGACAGAGATGCTAAACTGCCTTTGAGAAGAACTCCTTGATCACCTCCTACCCACCTCATTATAAAGTCTATGAAGGGTCTACTATATTTGGGATGATTTTAAATCCCACATTTCACTTGGTCCTCATACGACCAAAAGTGTCACTGCCAAAGATGAGGATATTAAGCCTGGAGAGTTTGCTTTGTGACATCCCTCTGATCAGAAACATACTAGATCTGCTACAGACTCTGAATGGTAAGAAAACCAATGCTATTATTTCAAGTGTATTTGTTTTAAGTTTTACCTTTTACGTGAAGTAAGACACATTGTGGTAAAAGTTAGGGAACGGACTAGTTACCAAGCATGCTCCCAAGTAGTTCTGTGCCTAGGAATGACTAAAAAACATATAATAAATATTATTACCTCTTGAGGAGACTAGATCTACACACATTTGAAGAAATCCTTGGAAAACAGTACAAAAGTATGAAACTGGACAAAAAAAGTTCAGCATCTTCAGTGTCTACAATATCAGACTCAATATACATGCTCAATAAATACTTGACAGGTAGTAAGCGAAGTTCCCAAAAATAGAGCACAGAAAACAAAGGCTGTAGGTTATTAAGAAGGAAAGTATCACTTGACAGGCTTCCTGGGTGTTAAGCCAATGACCCAGAGGGCAGACGCCAGGAGCACAAGAACTACAGCCAGCCTGGGAACAGGAGGCAGGGTACATACACACTGACAATGAAGGTCAAGGAAAGCTGGTGGGTCACCTGAACCACATAAGCAACACAGAACAGAGGATACTCACATCCAACAATACAATACCGGTGGAAAGAGAAACTGCCATTTAATTATTTCACTTTATTAAGAAGACTAAACTATGCTGACTGTGCACGCGCACACACACATACATACACACAAACACAGAGCTTTAGAAAGTAGACTGATTTCATTCTTTGCAAAGAAGCTATAGTACAAATAATAAACAGCATTATTTCTTATATTTGAATTCATTCATTTTAAAGTCTAAGTTTTCAGCACTTCTTATATACAAACTATGCCATTTAACTGCACCCAGGAAATGGTTATCCATAATAATAAGGTTAAGTGTTAGCAACTAAAACTTTCTACTTTCTGATCCTTTCAAATTAATGTCCCAGTATTAGTGTTTTCAAGTTCTAAGACCTTATTGTATTTAACTATTTAGAAATTACTTTCCCACGGAAATGTGTGTACAGATTAGCCTGGCTAATTACAAAACAAACTCCTTCTTCTATTAAATATCTGCACTGAATATTTATAGCTAGAGAATTCTTATAAAATTTCAGATTAACTTGATAAATTAAACCAACTCAGGAAGGGATTAACAAACCGCTATTTCTGTTTGAACTGCTATTTCGGTTCTGAAATAGGCAATTCTACATGTAGTGAATACGGAGTCTACTTTCCATTTATCCAATGTTTACTTAAAAGATGAACTATTTCAAACATCAATTCATTGTGCTTCTTGATTGAGTCATGAATATTCCCATAATCCCCACCTCATAAACCGTCCGTCTCAGTGAATGAAGTTCCTTCTCTTTTTTTCTTTTCTTCAGATGACTTGACACCCATTCATGTTTTGGGTCTCTTTATCTCCACATGAAATGATACTGCT